CTTGGTTAGCTTTTAGAATGAACAAAAGTTCTAGAGAAACAAGTTTGAAAAATGAACAGTAGTCAAGGGTAGCTAGGCGGCTGGCTAAATCATGGACTCCTATTAGGGCACCATTGTTGACTACTGGACACTTCTCAGGGAACTTTTGGCCCCCACTCCCATAGGAGCCATGGTCTGGGTCTTTCAAAATCTGGGAGGGATCATCCTGTTGTCCCAAACTAGGCCACGTGATCATGCCCTAGGTTCCAGGGAATGGAAGAGAATGTCTGTTCCTTTTGTCTTCCATGATTGAAACTAGGCTTTGCATTATACTTATTTGGGGATAATCCCTAAATGGAAAGAATATTTGCTTACTAATAACCACTCACAAATAATAGATATATTAGACTGATTACATTGATGGCTTAAGGCCCCCCCACTGCTCTGGTGCTGAATTCTAGGGAGTAATATCTACTGTCTCTTACCCCTTCTTTCTATTCCTACAGTGCTATTTGGTCATCCATTATTTCTGTTCTAGGAAGTGGCAATGATCTGCTATTGGCTTCTTGCTCCTCCCCACAAATCATAATTCATATGTTGTCTCATTTTATTCTGTGGCTTTCTTGGTGCTCCTTTTTCACAAATGTATTCTCATTCCCATTCCCCTCCCCACTCCTGATATGACTTTAAATATTGATTTTTGATTAAGTTAATATTCAAGTGAATTAACATATTAATTTGGAGTTTTAAACAAGATTGGAGATTGCTTACACCTTTGAAATCATATCACAAAGTTTTCTAACCATTCTTCAATTTGAAAGTATATCAAAATCAGTAGTGGCAGGGGATGTGGTATGTTAAAACACAGATTGATAAGCGCTGCAATCAACAATAGAACTACCTTTTCTGAGGAGTTACACATTTCAAAGCAGGTAATTATTTTATTTATGAAAATGAGTTCATTTCCAAAAGATTTTAAAATCTTCTAATTACATTAATCTGTTTCAAAGAAAGCAAATTAATAAAGTATATAGAACAATGGTGGGTACATTATGATAGGTATCAAACATGTGTGAATTCTTCCCCTTGTCCCCTACAAAACCACTCTCTCACAGGAAAAATTCAATAAACTTTTAATAATCTAAATTAAGGAGCCCATTCTAAGAAAGCACTTAGCTTCTTGTTGTCTGACAAAACTGTGACAAATGGAGAATGTGGAATTTCAAGATCTGTTATGGAAATGAAAAGATTAACAGCAGGCTTGAGACATCCAGAAGTAATGAATTCAGTCCAGTCTTCATGTGAATATGGTAATGACTCCAAGACAAGACCCCCTGGTAAACATAGTAATGGTGTTGATTGGTGGAATGATACCAGGGAGTCCTGACTTATACATTTTTTAATGGGATATGTCTGGTTTCTCTTGATTATTTATCATAACACGAAATTGGAATTTATGTATTTGTAGGTCATGAATGGCTGAAAAATGAAGGGTCATACCATAAACTGTAACTGAGAGAATATAAATGGACTGTTCTAACACAGGAATGGATCCCTTTGCGTGAATAGTTTCTCTACACACATTGCTTAGGAAGTAACTTGCCTGAAACAAATATTCAATTAAATGAAAAAGAAAAATAGCCTTTTGGGATCTGTGCCTCACTTTGTCAGATTCCTCCAAGAAATTCACATTTCACTTGTGCCTGTTGATTTTCTGTTTCCTTTGAATTATTAGTGATGTTTAATATTGGGTAGGATCTATAACTCTGTGAGTCTCCTTTGAAAATTCAACCCTTTGTGTTCAGAAAACTTGGATGTGGGTGCTGGGGTACGGACAAGAAATGGTGCAAACATTGATGTCAACTGAAACATTTCAGAAAACATGCCCCCTGAACAATCATGTGGGTATATCCAGAGGAATTTCTACCTGTATGTTTAAATCCCTAGGGATTAATAAGGGCTAGGGACCTTTGGGTATAGCTTTTAAGTGGGTATTTAAGCCCAAAAGAACAAGGAAAATTGCAATGAAAAATGCCTAGAATGAGTGAAGAAGAGATTCCAGAAAACACCAGTTATTTAACTGCCAGGGAAGAGAAGACAGTTCAGCTAGAAAACACAAAATAATGATTATCAGAGGAGAAGCAGTAGCGTGTGATATCCTGGAGGCCATTCGGGAGCTTTAAGTATGAAGGGATAGCTACAAAGTCAAATGTCATAGGAGGTCAAGAAAGATATAATCATGATGACAATAATAATAAAAAGTATGGGGCACCTACTGCATAAATTATTGCTAATCTTCACCATACCACTCCAAACTCATCATTATTATCAATGTTTTACAAAAGAAGAACCGAGGCTAAGGTTAACTAACTAGCCTAAGATTACATCATCTACTACTTCGTGTTTGAGTGAGGATGCCGACCTAACATTCTGACTTGAAACTCTGCTTCTGTCTTCTGGTCAGGAATAGCTGAAATGCTGAATCTACTGGGTCTGGAGAGTGGGAGGTATTTTCACCTACAGGATAGCAGTTAGAGTGAAATGGTGGAGGCAGGAGGCAGTGGGTCAGTGGGTGGACAGATGGAAAGGAAGGAGTAGCTGTGAGGATTCAACACTCTGGAGATGCTGAGCTGTGACAAGAAAGAGAAGAGTAGTGTCTGGGGGAGGATGCAACATTAAGGGAGGGTTTTTTTAGGATAGAAAAGAATGGAATAAGTTTATAGATGAAGAGGAAGGAACCAACACAGAGGATTGGTGGAAGTTACAGAAGAGAAAAGGAATAAATGAAGGAAGTGGCTGAAATAGGTAAGAGGATGGGAGTAAGATAATAAGGAGAAGGTTTAGTCTTGGATGAGAGAAGCAATGCTTCCTGTCTTGAGAATGGAGGGAGGAAGGTTTTGTGGGGGCAAGTGAGGGCAAGGGACTCTTGCTTGATGGCCTCAGTTTTGTTTTTCACTGAGCAGCAAACTCTGAGGAGTAGCAAAGATTTGAAGAAGCTTGGAGAAGAAGCAGTTCTAAAGCAAATAAAAGAGGTACTGGCCTAAGTGGCATTCCAAAATCTGACTTTTTAATGGTATAAAAGACACACGTGCAGTTTTCTTCTGCAGCCTAACTTGGTAGAAACCTGTGGAGAAAAATATTTTCTCCACTTGCCTTTGATCCTGCCTCAATCCCTAAGAGGAATGTCAGCCATTTGGAAGCATTGGGAGAAATTTTCTGCCCATCTCTCTGTTTCTCACTTACTCTGACAGATGACATCTGTTTAGCAAAAAGCTTACTGTTATGTGCTGTCCAGACCCTCTTGATGATGTCTTCTGGGACCAGCGCCTTTGAGAGCCTTGGATGTTTTCTCTGCTGCTGCCCCTGTATAGTATGGTAACTCAGCAGGGCCTCCCAAGCCCTGTCATAGGAGAGGCAGCAGTTTCCGGCTGCTTTGCCCATGGCACGTGGATGGGTTCATTTCAGGCTGGGAGTCAGCCCTTGATTTTGGCCACAGAGCATTCCACACTGTCAGATCTGGACATATAAGCAATCATCCTCATCTGATCTAGTATCTAATTATTCTAATTTTAAAATTAAGGCAAAGTTACATACAATGAAATGCACAGATCTTAGCAATGGATTTTGGAAAAGGCATACACCCAAGTATCCTAAAATTCTATCCAGTTATAGAACATTTCCATCCTTCATAAATTCCTTCTTGCCTTCCCTCACCTTCAGAAACAATCAGTGTTCAGATTCATTCATCATGGATTAGTTTAGCCTGGTCTAGAACTTCATAGAAATGTGTCTATCAGTATGTACTCTGTTGCGTAAGGCTGCTTTCACTGTACTTCATTTTGACATTCATCTATTTTGTCATACATATCAATATTTTGTTCATTTATATTGCTAAGTAGCATACTACTATATGATTATATCTTTATCCATTCTATTGATGGACATTTGGGTTGTTTCATGGTGGGATTTCATGAATAAGGCTGCTATGAATAAATGTGTACAAGTACATTTCTGGGCATATATTTTTATTTTCCTTGGAATTACTGGGTAGTTTATAACAAACTGTCAAATCTTTTCCCAAAACACACCTTTTTACACTCGAATCAGCAATTATAAGAGTTCTTATGCTTTTATATCCTTGCCAAAGTTATTGTCAGTTATTTTAATTTTATATGTGAGTGGGTATGTATCTAGCTCTTGGTGACCAAAGTTCGTCTGCTAGTAGGCTCCTTGAGAAGAGCTTTTGAGAACAATATTCCATTAATTATTGCACATTCAAAACATGTTTTACTCTTTCTTCTTGAGAGGCAGTTTGAGTTGTTGGATTAATTATAGTAGTAAAATTAATGGATATGGAACGATTAATGGAAATAATGTCAAGGAAGGATGATCTGGGTGGCAAATGGCCACAGACCTTGCAGTGAGCAACCACGAGGAGTAGTCCTGCTGCTTGCAAGGTTGGGTTGCCATTCTTTATGGATAGCATCCTGAGATAATATGATAGGTGGATTATTAAAGTGGCTCCAAATCTCACCATCCCTTTTGTAATGTAAACTTGAAGCCTTTTCCAACAAGAGGTGGAGTTTTTTTTTACTTAGCCAACATAATGCAGCAGAAGTGATCAAGCGCCACTTCTGAGACTAAAATTCAGAAGACCTGGTACACTTTAGTGTGCTCTCTCTCTCAGTTCTACTTCTGCTGTGTGATCAAGCTTAAGCTAGTTGTCATCGCATCTCTAAGAAATAGCCAGGCCAAATCCCAGGCAGACCAATGAGCCATCCTTGAGAAATCCAGCCCTCTTCTTACCCACAAGCTGACCACAGACAAATGAGTGGCCCAAGATCAACCAACCCATAAATTGATCAGCAATAATTACATGGCTGTTGCTTTAAGCCAGGCATTAGCAAACCTTGGCCCATGGGCCAAATCTGGCCTGCTGCCTCTTTTTGTAAATGAAGTGTTATAGAAACACAGCTATCTTCACCTGATCCTGCTGCTATAACAAAATACTATAGACTGGGTGGCTTAAACAACAGACATTTATGTTTCATAGTTTTGAAGGCTGGGAAGTCCAAGGCACCAGCAGATTTCGTGTCTGGTGAGAGTTGTTCTGTCTGCTTCAGGGATGGTGCCTTATTGCTGCATCCTGACGCGGTAGAAGAGGTGAATGCTGTCTTGTATCTTCACATGGTGGAAGGGATGGAAGAGATGGAAAGGATGAACTTGGTCCCTCAAGCCCTTTTATAAGGCATTAATACTATTGTACATATATTTGGGATACATGTGGTATTTTGATACTGATATACAATGTGTAATGACCAAATCAAGGTAATTGGGATATCCATCACCTCAAACATTTCTCTTTGTGTTGGGAACACTGAAATTCTTCTCTTCTAGCTATTTTGAAATATACAATAGATTATTATTAACCACAATTTCCCAACTGTACTATCAAATAGTAGAACTTATTTCTTCTGTTTAACTGTATTTTTGTAGCCATTACCCACCTCTTAACACTACTGCACTGGGGATTAAGTTTCAACGTGAATGTTGGAGGGGCACAGACATTCATACCATAGCAAAAGATAAACTCATTTGTTTACATATTGACTATGGCTTCTCTCATGCTATAATGGCAGAGTTACCTATAACTGTAGTTGCAACAAGTAGTTGCAATTGAGACTGACCTGCGAAGCCTGAAATGTTTACTTTCTGGCCCTCACAGAAAAGCTTTTTGACCCTTTCTTTAAGTCATTGAGCTTTTGGGTGGTTTGTTACCCAGCAATAGCTAACTGATACACATGGTAATCGTCAGGTAAATACAGAGAGGACTTTGAATAGTTTCCACTAAAATAGAATTCATTTATTTGTTCCTTTATTATATAGACATTGATGGTCTAAAGTTTAGCTATACCCAAGACAGATATAGCTCTTACCCTGACTGAGCTTACTGTTTAGTGGGGAAACAAATTTAAAAAGCTATTAGGGTATATCTAAATAGGTGGATGAAGTCACAGGGAGACTAGGTAACTTAGCCATTCATGGACAGGGTAGCAGCAACAACTGGTATGGACGAGGGGATGTCGTAGGCACTGAGGAGCATAATCTTTGTGAAGGTAGAATGCACAAGTCTAAGGCAAATCTAAGCCATTATCTTGGCTTGGGAGAGGCTGTAGAAATCTCTCTCAGGGAGTACATTAGGGAGAAGAAAATGTTCTGTATCCTTATGTGGTGGTAGTTACACAATCTATACAGTATTAAAACTCATAGAAGTATACACCAGAAAGAGAGCCAATTATACTGTTTTTTAATTTTAAAAATCTATGCCAAGTATAGGCAATAAAACACTTTAGAATTTGATGAGAAGGTGAAGTTCATTTCCCTGATTAACTTATTAATTTCTAGGGGGATCTACAGTAAATTCAGAATTTAGTGCAATGTTATCAGAGCTCAAAAAAAAAAATCATTGATATCGAGTCCACTGAGAGAAAGCAAAAAGTTTTGTGAAAGCTTGAAGTATTCTATGTACCTATATGTGGGCCACACATGAGCTGTATGTTGTTATAAAATACCCCAGCTATTCCAGCTTCTCAGCTCCATGACAGACATTGTTCTCACTTCTAATTCTGGAGCACCACCACCATCTTCGGCCACACCTACATACACAGATTTTCAGAAGATAATTTATTCTGTCCAAGCTGACAACATGAGGTTCCACAGTCTCTGCAGCTCTCACACTCCCTTGAACAAAGACACAATTATTCACATCTGATAAAGTCTTCACTTACGCTTCCTGATCCACTTCTGGGCAGTATTTTTTAACAAGCTTTATGTTTTCAGCACACAAAAAGACATTTACTTCCTTAGGATCTTTTCCTATAAGCAAGCTATGCTACTCCCAGGTACCCGTGAGTGCTGCGACTGGCAGTGTTTTGGAATTTAAACCAGAGGCGTCTAAGGGGCTGTGAGGTTGCTAAAAACAATCCACTGGGTGCCAGAAGAAAATATAGGAAACAAAAATATTTAATATGCCCATTTGCATTGGTTCCCTCCCTTGGTTTAGATGTCATGTACCCACAGGAAGGTCAAGCGTCACACACGTACCCAAAGTACCCCAAGGAAAAAGAGTGAAATGCTACATTGCTGAGGAATTGGCAATAGCGCCCCTGCTGGACTTCTGTGTGTCATGACAGATTTGAGTTTACAGGTGCCAGTTTAAGTGATTTATAGATGATCTTGTTATAACAAAATAAAACCATGTAAAATGGACAAGTGGCTTATATAGTTTCCCTCCAGAGAAAATTGGATTGAAGACAATGCTAGTAAAGCAAACAGAAGCCATCAACAAGGACCTGGCGTTTCTCCTATTCTTAATGAAGGACTGTTCTCCACAGCACAGGTTCCTCCCAGGGAGTGTGGGTTCATGAACAGGGCTGGGGGCTGAGGCTGTCAGATAAAAGGCTTTCTTTGTTTACAACATGAGGACTATGTGGATAAAGTGAATGCCAAAGTTGCCAGAAGGGAATGCTGCAGTTCTCAGAAAAAGTAAGGGATATTAGGCAAACAAACAATAGCTGTTCCTAATGAAATTCTCTTAGATTGGCACAGTTTAAATGTTCACATCAGTTTGGTATCAGATCAGTTTGGATCCTTTGTTATCCTGGAATCACTTGAAAGCTTGTGTGCATTTCCTGTTTTGCTATTTTTGCTAATTTTTATGTTTTATTTCTCCTCAAATGTGAACTTCTGGAAAGCAGAAGTGTATTGTATAGCAGTGTTTCTCAAACTGAGATCACACAGATCACACAGGGATCCTGAAAAATGCAGATTCCTATTCAGCAGGTCGGGGATGGTGCCTGAGAATCTGCATTTCTGACAACCTATCGGATGATGCCAGTGTTGCTGGTCCATGGGCCACACTTTCAGTAACACTGGTCTAACTCTAGGTAGATCAATTTATCAGGGTAGAAGTATATCGCAGCTGTTTATTATGGATTCTTAATTATGGGAATTATTCTGTGACTGCCTTCTATAAAGAAATTCTCTGTTTGGATGCAGCTTCTTCACCCTTTTTTCTTCCTTAAAGACGTCAGGAAAAATCAGAGAGAAAAATATAGCAATACAACCCCTTTCCTCCTTATCCAATCACAAAGTGGCTGCTAGCTTACTAGGAATGTAAATATAATGACTCTTATCAATGATGCTATGTTATTGACTTATCCTCAGCAAACTAAATCACAAGCATAAAAAGGCTTTTTCAGAAAAGTGCTGTTGAAGACTTTTCGGGACACCTTACCAGCTTTGCTTGACACAGCTAAAAGCTTCCCCAACCCCATAGTCCCTGCTCATACCTGTAATATTCATTTGCCCTACCGATTCAGAAATAAAATTCTCTACTGAATTTCACTGTCATTTACATATTTTCTTTGCTTGACTTGTCTTTCCTAGAAAATATTAAACTCTTGGAAGGCCAGGGATAGTAATAACAAAAACAATTCCATCAATTAACACTAATCCTTAACATGAATCATTTACTATGTGTCAGGCACTGAACAGACTTTGTATACATTATTTCATGCAGTGTTCTCAATAACTTTCTTATTCCTACTTTACAAATGAGAAAACTGAGGCTTGAAAAGAATAACTAACTTAACCTGAGGTACGGGAGAGACTACAATTTGCTATCCAATACCTATTCTCCATTTCTTCTCTTGCAATAGAGACTCAGTTCCATGTAGGGTACCAATGCAGTTAGCTAAAACCCTCTCTTGGCCAGGCATGATGGCTCATGCCTGTAATCCCAAAACTTTGAGAGGTTGAGGTGGATCACTTAAGCCCAAGAGTTTGAAACTAGCCTGGGTGACAGAGTGAGACCCCAACTCTACAAAAATTTTTGAAAAATAAAAATAACAGCCTCTTGTGAAGGTAGGTATGGCCAGGATACTAGCATGTAGCCAAGGAGATGTATACAGGAAGGTGGTATAGAACTTGACAATGGAAAATGAGAGCTGAGACTTCAAGCAAATAAGCAATTTATAAGATAAGAACTTGTCACCCTTTTGACTCCCTTCTTTTGTCAGACCTTCTATGATCACTCGATGTTTTTAAACTTTGGCAGCCATCTTTAACCACAAGGTGACCTTGGGGATGAAGGCCATATGCTAACATGGTGGAGCCAAAAAACAGGAAGAGCCTGGGTTCCTGGTGACCTTGAAGCTGCATTTCCAATTCAGGACTAGTAGCTCCAGACTGCTGTTACATGAGAAAGAAAGAAATATGTAAGTGCTATTTGAGTCATTTTAGATTTCCTCTCACTCTGGGCCTGGACTTACCTAACTGAAGTGTGTCTCACAGCTAACAAGAGATGTGGCTTATATTCAGCCATAGGCCATTTCATACTGTTTTCTTACCCTCAGCGCCTAACTGAAAACAGCACGTTGTATGGTCTGCTTACTTTGGCCCCAAGAATTAACTCTTTACTAAGAAGAAAAAAAAATTCCTTCCCAGGATTTGCTTTCATGATCTGCTTCAGTAGTACAAGGAAGGAATGCACTGGCATCTGTCTAAACAATTAGAAAATGGGATAAAGATATTTCTAGAATGGTGTAGATACTTTTCAAGATGTTTCTTTTATTACTTGTTGTTCTTGCATTCCACATTTTTCTAATTTGCAATCCATACATTTGAGATTGCCATTATCATTTGTGCATTCATTTGGCACCTATTTATTAAGCACCTACTACATGCTAGGAACCAATCTAGTGACTGGGGATGGAAGAGTGAACAAAACAGACAATATCCCTGGTTTATGGCATTTATATTCTTATGGTGGGAGAAGAGGACAAACAATAAACAACAAACAATAAAATAACAGGTTAGGTAGAGATATGTTTTATGGAGAAATTAAAATGAACAAGGGGGATCATGTTGGCAGGTGTGTTAATCAGGATTCCCTAGAGGGACAGAACTAATGCCTGTAATCCTAGCACTATGGGAGGCTGAGGCAGGTGGATTGCCTGAGCTCAGGAGTTCAAGACCAGCCTGGGCAACACGGTGAAACCCTGTCTCTACTAAAATGCAAAAATTTAGCTGGGTATGGCAGCATGTGCCTGTAATCCCAGCTACTTGGGAGACTGAGGCAGGAGAATCACTTGAACCCGGGTGGTGGAGGTTGCAGTGAGCTGAGATTGCACCATTGCACTCCAGCCTGGGTGACAGAGCAAAACTCTGTCTCAAAAAAAAAAAAAAAAAAAAAAGAGAGATACACACACACACACACACACACACACACACATATATATATATATGAGTTTATTAAATATTAACTTACACAATCACAAAATCCCGCAATAGGCTGACCGCAAGCTTGAGGAGCAAGGAGAGCCAGTCTCAAAACTCAAGAACTTGGAGTCTGATGTTCCAGGGCGGGGAGCATCCAGCACAGGAAAAATGTGTAGGCTGGGAGGCTAGACCAGTCTCACCTTTTCACGTTTTTCTGCCTGCTTTATATTTGCTGGCCGCTGATTAGATTGTGCCCACCAGATTGAGGGTGGGCCTGCCTGTCCCAGTTCACTGACTGAAATGTTCATCTCCTTTGGCAACACCCTCACAGACACACCCAGGATCAATACTTTGCATCCTTCAATCCAATTAAGTTTACTCTCAGTGTTAACCATCACAGCAGGAATGGGATACTTACCTGAAAAAGGTAAGAATGCAAATAATGGAAATTTTGTTTCCCAGCTGAGACTGTCAACGTATGCTTTTACTCTGGGAATGGACGCAAAACCTGGTGACAGAAGATTGATACGCTTCAGAAAATGTTCTACATGATGCTTGACAACTTTAAGAATTTTTTATGTACTTGTCTGAGCATCTGATATTCAACAGTTCCAATTGGACAATAACTGGTTTGCTTTTTCTTCTCTTTTCCTTCTGCTTGGCTTTTGTGTCATTCCAGCAGAAGCCCAGTTGCCTCTTTGCTCAAATAGGATTGTACCTTTTTAAACCAACTTGGAGAAGAGAATGTGAATAAGTGAGTAATTGAGTGTGTGTGGGAGCTTGGGTGCATACTCCAGATGTGCAAGTGCATTTAAGAAAAGCTGGAATAGACAAGATAATCCTGATATTTATTTGGTCAAAAATGGAAATTTCTAAATACTGAATTCTAATTCTTCTCAGTCCTTTGAAAATGCAGACTACCTCCCAGCATCATGTGGTCTGAAAAATAAGTGGAGGTGGAAAGAGAAGTAGGAGGAGATTTGAAAGCAGTAGAAGGAAAGATAATGAGGCGGCTGCTAAAATTTTTGCACAAGGACATGAAGACTTCCCTTAATGTTTAAAAACATGATCTTGCAGCCTTTTCCATTTTGACTTCATTTTCCTCATCTACTGAATTAATGAGAATCTAGATGATCTGTAGGTCAAGCATTTGCTGGAAATAAGAAGGCCAGAGCTAATAATCACTGACTTTGCCTAGGACCCTAATCCATCTGCCCAGCACAAACAGACATCAACTTTGCTGTCATTTTCACAGGAAGTCCCTCAGAACCCTAAGGCGACTGGCACATTTTTCTCATTGGAAATTAAAGTTAACAACTTCTCATCTTCAATGTGGAAATGTACATAATCCTAGGACAGTATACTATTGTCTCTAAAGAGAACTACACATTTAATTTTGAGTTTGTGTTATATAAATCAAGCAGTTCCATTAGCATGTCTTCATGTTGTGATCTAAGTTCACAAAATCTGATCCCATCCTAAGATGCTGATATTGTGCTATTTTCTGCTAATGATACAATCAGAAACAAATATTTTGTTGGTCTTTGTATTTCATTTTGGCCAGAATTGCCTAGAAGCAGAGCCTGAGACAGAGATTCAGGACTAGGTGACTGAGGAAGTGTTCTTAGGAGAAAAGGAGTAGAGGAACAGGTCAGAACGTGAGAAAAAACTTAAGCAAGGACACATTCTCAACTGGCCTTCAGCTTCAGCCTCATCCCACATGGAGTTCTGCAGTGTGATTTGTACCCTTCTATCCTGATCTGTCATACCCATGGCTGCTGGATATCCCCTTCCATCTGAAGGAAGGGTTATAACCTACTGTAGAAGGCAGCTCCCATTGGCCAAGGGCAGTTCTGTGCAGAACAGGGCAGTCATGCATCATTGGCAACCAATGTTTACAGAACTTGAGGTATGGGTACCCTGGCAGATGGGTGCGCCAGCCTGACTGTGAAGATCCAAAAGCATCCTCCCTTCTCTTTTCCATCCTGGAAAACTTCCTGATTGCTTTATCTTGCATTATTCTTTATTCTTTATTCTGTTTTATTTTTAATTTTTGTGGGTATACAGTAGGTGTGTACATTTATGAATTACATGAGAGATTTTGATACAGGCATGTGATGCATAATAACCATTTTAGGGTAAATGGAGTATCCATCACCTCAAGCATTTATCCTTCATGCTAAAAACAATCTAATTATACTCTTTTAATTATTTAAAAATGTAATTTTACATTTTTACTGTGGTTACTCTGCTGTGCTAGCAAATAAAAGTCTTCTTCATTCTTTCTAACTATTTTTTTGTGTGCCTATTAACCATCCCCACTTCCGCCAAGACTCCCATCCTTGCTAACCTTCCAGTCTCTGGTAACCATCCTTCTATCTCTATCTCCACGAGTTCGGTTATTTTAATTTTTATCTCCCACAAATAAGTGAGAACGCCTTGCAGTATTCTTAAATAATTACTTTCTTCTTCTCCTTCAGAAGAGCTCCTTCTCAAGCTCTTCTTCATTCCACTCCTGAAAGACATGAGTGATTGTATAATTCTTTCAGTAATTGACCCAACCTGTGAATGAGTAATGGCCTATCAAGAAAGAATAGACATTTAAATTTTGTGATCAAGGCACAATAAAATAAAGTTTGTGCCCTGAGCCCTGTTGTACAAATGACAACCAGGATTTGTTAGTCTCCTTTTTTTTTTTCTTTCTTTTTTGCTACTATTGGCTATTCTATAAACAGCTTGGGGCATTCTATAAATAGCTTTGTCTTTGTATTTCTAACATCCGAAATGGTTTCTTGCATGAAACAGTCATTCAATAAATGCTCATGAATAACTGAATGAATTAAAGAATACTGGGGTGGCTGTTGAGATATGAATGTTTACTGTAAGAATGCAAAGACTCAAAAGATTTAAAGTATATAAGAGACAGGCAGAACATGTCAACAAGTAAAAGTGGTTGTGGCCAACTGGAGAGCAACATACAATAGCCTATGGGGGCCAAAACCTTTCAGCTCTCCCAGATCATGAAAACTGGTTGGGAATGCTGGCCTTGATACTTTGATACTTAATCCTAAAAAAAAAAAATCTGGAGATTCAAAATTGTATCTAAAACTTCCTTATTTTTAGATGTTGACAGATAGCCTAACAACAACTAACATTTTCGGAGCCAGTGCATACTTCTATTAACTGAATTTCACTTGGGAAAGGTTGGTTTGTGTCCACTGCCATGGAATATCTCCTGGTTGGTAATTATCATTCTTTTTCACTGTCAGTGAGCAACTAAAAAACTGAGAGAACAAAAGAGCAATAGTCTTCTATCATCTTCTTCCAAAATCTACTACTCAAAAGTAGCTCAATCAAGAGAATCTTTTGGTTTTCTCTGTAAGACTCTGCTTTGAGTCTTTTCCTGTTGTATGGCAGCTTTTTATTCCACCTTCTTTATTCCTGTATATACTTTGGAGGTTATTGTTCTCAATTCCTCAATTCCTTGGCCTCCTTTGTCTTCTTACTCAGCTCATAGAGTTCTTATTCCCCCTTCCATAAACCTCGAGGCGGTCCATGACTGCTTCAAAATGGATCTGTGAACATCTGGGAATTCCTTTGCAAGATGGTATGTATGTGTTTATGCGCATTTTTATGTGGAGAAAATGACAATTTTTATCACATTCTAAAAGGAGTACCCCTGTGTCCATTCACTTTTTTTTTTCTTTTTTCAACTTTTATTTTAGAATCAGGGAGTATATGCGCAGGTTTGGTACAAAGGTATATTGTGTGATACTGAGGTTTGGAGTATGAATGAATCCATCACCCAGATAGTGAGTATAATACAAAATAGGTAATTTTTCAGCTCTTTCTCTTCTCCCCCGCCAGTAGTCCCCGCTATCTACTGTTCCCATCTTTATGTCCTTGTGTACTCAATGTTTAGATCCCACTTATAAGTGAGAACATGTGGTATTTGGTTTTCTTTTTCTGCATTAGTTTCCTTGGGATAATGGTTTCCAGCTGCATCCATGTTGCTGCAAAGGACATGATTTTGTTTTTCTGCTTTTTTTTTTTATGGCTGCCTAGTATTCTATGGCGTATATGTAACACATTTTCTTTATCTAATCCACCATTAATAGGCACCTGAGTGTATTCCATGCCTTTGCTATCAAATGAATAGTGCTGCAGTGAACACACTTGCCTATATCTTTTTGGTAGAACAATTCATTTTCCTTTGGATATACTTAGTAATGGGATTGCTGAGTTGAAGGATACCTCAACTCTTAGTTGAGAAATCTCTAAACTGCTCTCCACAGTGGCTGGACTAATTTACATTCCTACTACAGTGTATAAGTTTTCCCTTTCCTCTGTGGCCTCAGCAACATCTTTTATTTTTTGACTTTTTAACAAAGTCGTTCTGACTGGTGTGAGATAGTGTCTCATTGTGTTTATGATTTTGCATTTATGTGATGATTAGTGATGATGAGCATTTTTTCATGTTTGTTAGCTACATGTATGTCTTCTTTTGAGAAGTGTCTGTCTGTGTCCTTTGCCCACTTTTCTACGGATTTATTTGTTTTTTTGCTTGTTGATTTGCTGAAGTTCCTTATAGATTCTGGATATTAGCCCTTTGTCAGATGTATGGTTTGTGAATATTTTCTCCCACTCTGTATGTTGTCTGTTACTCCCTTGATGGTTTTTCATGCTGTGTAGAAGCTCTTTAATTAGGTCCCACTTGTCAACTTTTAGTTTTGTTGCAATTGCTTTTGAGGATTTAGCCATAAATTCCTTGCCAAGGCTGATATTGAGAAGGGTATTCCCTAGGTTTTCTTCTAGGATTTTTATAGTTTGAGGTCTTACAGTCAAATCTTTAATCCATCTTGAGTTAATTTTTGTATATGGTGATAGGTCGGAGTTCAGTTTCATTTTTCTGCCAGTTATCCCAGCACCATTTATTAAATAGAGAGTTTTCTCCCCATTGCTTATTTTTGTCAAGTTTGCTGAAGACCAGATGGCTGTGGCTTTATTTCTGGGTTCTCTACTCTGTTCCGTCAGTCTGTGTGTCTGTTTTTGAGTGAATGACATGCTGTCTGTTCACTTTGGAAGCTTCATATATACTTGCCTGAACCTTATAGCTGGTCATAACATGTTTTTTTCCCTTAGTTTAGCAAATATTTCAGTGGATCCCCAATGCCTCCATTCTTAGAATTTTGCATAATCTAAGATGCAAATTTTTTTTTTTTTTTTGAGATGGAGTCTCGCTCTGTTGCCCAGGCTGGAGTGCAGTGGCACAATCTCGACTCACTGCAAGCTCCACCTCCTGGGTTCATGCCATTCTCCTGCCTCAGCCTCCCGAGTAACTGGGACTACAGGCGCCTGCCACCACACCGGCTAACTTTTGTATTTTTAGTAGAGGCGGGGTTTCACCATGTTAGATAGGATGGTCTGGATCTCCTGACCTCGTGATCCGCCCACCTAATTCTTTAGATTAGCATGCAGGATCCATTACTATCACTTACAACCCTTGTG